AATCTTTTTATAGGCACGAGGATTCCTTCTCCATGAGGACACCTCTATCCACTTGCTAAAAATAAAATTGTAAAATATTTCTGATTGCTGAAAAGGAAACTGATAAAACAAAAGTAATTGAAAGTAACACAGCTACAATCATTTTCTTCTAAAGCAGCATTTTCCATATTTCTTATCAAGGCCTCGTGACTGTTCTCTGACGATCCCCAACCAGTACTAGATTATTCTCACGTAGAATGTTAATCATCTTCCCAAGAAGCTGCAGAGAGAAACATCACGAAATAGAAAATCAAACTTCTAAGTCTATTATTATAATATGATGACGCGTCAACAATTAACACCGGTGACAACTGAACCAAGCTTCCTCTAACAACTGATATGAAACACAAAAGAGTAAAGGAATAAAACACTTTCCCTCAACAGTCTACAAACGAATCATCTAAGCCAAATCAACATTTTCATGTTATAACTAAGTTGATCTCTAATATAACCCTATTGATAAATTCAAGATAACTTCACAAAACTTACAACCCAAAGGATATATTAACTAAGGAAAAGATATGAAATGGAAAGAAATCAAAGATAAAGTAGTTCAGAAAACATCCAAGCCAGGCATACCAGATGGTTATTAATTGGAGAAACCTACATTAGTTATGATGAAAGCAAAGGGATTTCCTTTGCTTTCCTTTATTCCACGATGTTTATTCTACTCATGTAATCACAATCACTATTTTAACAGGTTCTATCCATCCATTTTTATCATTATTTTAAAATTTAAAATAGGTAAACAAGGGTTAATTGCCATTACTACTTCTATATTCTAATTTCTATTCCATTTTGTCTGCCAAAAACAAGCAAAGGGCCGCACAAAAAGGGTTGCTCCAACAAAGATAAAGCACCCTTGAATGCAAAAGTTTATCAAAGCTGAAGTACCCACAAAGCACAACAAGAAGTATATAATTAATGTGCTTCCATTTCAAGAATTCTCACAAGTCATTATAAATCCACAATCAAGAAGAAGCTTCTAAAATATAAGTCCGTTCAAAGGCCTTAGACAGTAACACGGACTCATATATAAGAGCTCAGAATCCTGGATTTTTCAAGGGACCAATTGATTAAGTAATTACATAAAATTTACCCATGACAGAGACAAGGAGAGGCTAATAATTGCAGAAGGCATGTAAAATAGAATATACCTCCTCATATTGATAATCACAATCACTACCTTCCCAAGGATAACAAGGGGCCAAGGCATGTTCTTTTCCTTCATCCTCTCCAGAGTAAAATAAGCCAAGAAAAATTATTAGATGCTCATCGCTCACTTGGCTAACTTCACTCGACATCAAGAGTATAACAAACATACAGTCATTAAGTTCAGTTTAATGCACAACAGTAAAATAAGACAACCGTTTACCATCTAAATCTTCATTTGCATCTCCACCCTCATCAGTAAAGTTACGGGTTTCAACCTGCCACAAAAAAACAAGCACCATATTGCTCCCATATAATTTACATATTTCTAATGGCTGCTGCATAGATTGTGTAAAAATCATTCAATATAAATTCTGAATGACTTAATGGCCTTTTTCTTCTTCTTTTTTAAGCCAGTAAATGTAGTCTCAACCCCATCCGAAACTACAAAAATGAGAATGAACCATGCATATTCACAAACATAGATATATCAAATGACAACATCAGCAACAGTAATAAAATTTTTTTAGTTTAAATTAGATACCAGACAGATTTTCTAACTTCTCAGCCAAGTTGTTCACTTAATGATCAGCAAGATCTATAATTATAATTTTCTTCTTTTTCTTCTTCTTAGTAGGATCAAATGGGGCAATCTGTCATTCATCAATTAAGTTCTCAGATGGGAGTGCTTTTTGACAAAACAGTTAATTGTGGTAACATAACTGACAAAACAGTTAATTGCGGTAACAGATGAATGGGATTGCCAGGGAATGGAAACATAGAAATAGCAACATAGAGACCATAGAAAAAAAAAATTCCTGTATAGCTAATCAACCAAAACACAAAACAGAACAGCGTTGTAAAATAAAATAAAAAAAAAATTAAGAAGGGAAAGAAGAATACTTACTCAGGAGCCTCCTCCTTCGTATCATTATGTGTTTCATCAGCCATGGTTGTTGCAACATAAGTACAATAGAAGGTGATCAGTCAATTGGTAAGCATAGGTGGACCTATATTACACTCAGTGGGGGCATCATTGTGTTACAGTATCCTATAGGACCGATTATCTAAAATATGCCAAATCAGTCATTCACATGTGGATGTCGTGTTAGTGATTGTCGGTAAGTCATCCATCCTCTAGAAGAAATTGTGCGTTAGCACCAAATAAATAGTGAATTAAGGGTGACTTTTATTCTTGTATTTTACACAAAGTTCATAGATGATCTTAAATTTAATTATAAGTTTATTTTATTTCTTAATTGTTAACATTTTTAAACTCAACGCCCAACCATTTTCTTTGTTAGTAAGGCTCATTTTTTAATTTTTTAATATTTTTTATTATAAGACATTTAAGTCGGTCCACCAGTCTTTTTCAATTTTTTTTTTCTTTCCTCCCCTTTTCTCTCTCTCTCTCCCTCCTCCCTCTCTTCTTCAGAAGATTGTCCCCATCTAAATCAAGGTCGTGCATCATATATATAGCTAGACACTCGAAACGAAGATGAAGCCGATGTGGTAAGTAAGTTGGTGATCGATGCAACTGAGCTCTCTGGGAACCGGCAAGGAAGTCAACAAGCTGAGTGCTTATGCAGAGCTTTAAAGGACCAGCAAGTCGAGTTGGCCGTGAACACGAGAGAGAGAGAGAGAGAACTGGTTTAGCGAGGAGTGGAGGAGAAAGAAAGTGATTGTGTAGAGTTTCAAAGGACCAGCAAGTCGAACATCTCCCATCCTCCTCCGATCTTCATTGTTGGCCATCTCTACACAAGCTTGCTCACATGGAAGGCACGAAGGGTTTGGAGCGAAGCAATGAGGAGTGCATGTCCATTCCCTCTCCCTCCTTCGTTCTCTATCTTCCCATCAACAATAGCTCAGGCGACTCCTTCTTGATCCTTCTCAGTTCAAAGTGAATGATATGACCCTTAACTCCTCTCTGTTTCTAAAGAAAAATAACAGGGGAGAACAGAGACGCTTCACTTCTTCACAAAGGACACAAGCCCAATAACAGCGCATACATGCGGGTTCCTTCACGTGGAGAAGGGAGAAAGTGGGAAGGGGAGAATGATGAAGAAAAGAGCACCACTGAAGAGCATGGAGTCTTTGCGTTCGAATTTACGTGTCATAGTGAAGGCCACAAGGGAAGACAAGCTTTCTTCATCCTCGTGTGCATGTGAGAAGATGATGTTGTTTTCGATGGGAGATTCACCCTGGAGAAGAATGGCAAGAGAGTTTAAGGGAGGTGATGGGCATAGAGGACAAGCTTATTGCAATAGCTTGGGTAATTTTAGTTATGTTATTATATTTTTTATCTAATGTAATTGTTTTTAAAAAATATTATATTATTTTTTAAATTATTAATTTTAAATTGAGTTATCTCACAACTTTTGACCTAGCACGGATATAATTAAAAATTAAACGTACCCGTATATATTACAGGATATTTCTCCATAAGTATTCTATATTCTAACAGTTATTTTATAATTTTTTTAATAATTTTTTCACTATATCACCTCAAAATTTAAAAAATACCTAATATTTTATTTAATTATTAAAAATATCCTTATATTTTTTAAAAATTTTTATTTAAAAATCAAAATATCTATACTTATATTATAAAATGTTAAAATATATTATAAATATTCTCGTACTCATATCCTAAAATTTTAAAAATTTACCGCGCACTCATATCATGTTCCTCATATCATGTTGTATTATATTGAATACTCATATTTATATCTATGCAACCTAGCTTTTGACTTTAGGTCTTAGTTTCACCAGTGACTACGATAGCTTGGATAGAGGGGGGAGAGAGGAGAGAGAGAATGTGAGGGGGGAGGGGAGAGAGAGGAGAAAGATGGCAGTAAGCTTGGAAATTGGCTAGTTTGAAGTTTTGGTGTGCTCGGAAGCCTCCGCGGAACTTGCTGTCGGCGTTGAAGAGGGCACGACAAAATGCAAATGGGTACTCTGTGGAGGGAGGGTGAGAGAGAGAGAATGAAAGAGAGTGGGAGAAGAATTTTTTATATTATAAAAAATATAAAAATATTGGTGAGACTTATTATGAAATATTTTATAATAAAAATATTAAAAAAAATTTAAATGTGAGCCCATTGACTGAAAAAAACAGACGATGCAAAAGATAGGGTGATGACTTTAAAAATGTTAATGGGTGAGGGATAAAATAAATTTATAATTAAGTTTAAGGTTATTTGTGAACTTTTATGTATAATTTTGGAATAAAAATGACTCTTGATCCATAAATAATCAATAGTTTTTTTAACTAAAATGTACTTTTAATCCTTTAATTTTACATGACATTTTATTTTATAATCTTAATTTTATAAAGTTTTTTTTTAATCCTTTAACTTTAATATTATTAGTATCATTCCAACAAATATTTATATCAAACTTTTAAATATTGACAAAATAATCTCTCTAATATAATAAGTTTAAATTTTTTAAAATATCAATAACTGATACAAAAAATAATTATTTAAAAAAAATAATGTTAAGATTAAAAGATTAAGAAGATATTATATAAAATTAAATTAAATAATTAAATTAAAATTTTATATAAAATTAGATCACTAAATATGCTCTAGGCATAGTTTTTCATTCAACTTATTTGGATCACATTGGATAAACCCATTAATCATGTGCTCTTCGCCTACAAAACTTGACGCGTTCTTGTCATGACTTTAATACCAATCGTTTTGAGGCCATAAAATGCAATTGCTTTGTCTTAATCCGAAGACTAAATACACGCACAAAGCCTTTTGATGTCATGAGGCCGCAAGTTGGTTTCTGTATCTGGGACGTGTTTTTGTGGCACAACACAGAGTCACCCGTCGTAATTGATGAGGGCGACGCCAATGAAGATGGTATTCCTGGAATTAGTGGACGAGATTCTATTGATGTTGACTCTGATGCTCTTGCTTCCTATATGTTTCGTGTTATAGCGAAGTCAGATAGCAAAACGTAACCAACCTTTTAATGACATAACTACCTACAATCAGGATCAGGGCAACCCAGAGCATGAGTCTGCATATACAAGATATGATCACTCAAGCTTTTGGAATAGAAAGATGAAGCACGCTAAGTCCATCATGGTGGGAAGAAGAAGTTTTGACAGAGAGAATCTCACTGGCGGGATATTATCTGGTCGGAAGCGTAACCAATGTGTCATTTTACCGGCCAATATCCCTATGGTTGCTGATTCCTTTGAGCGAAGAAACCAGAACTGGTAATCTTGTCTCCCTCATCCAAAAATGGGTAAAAAAGTTTCTTAATTAATCTGTTCTTCGATTGGAATTCCCTTTCTTCGATGTCACTCTAAAAAAGTATCTGTTTGCTGAATGACCCCTCTGTTTGACACAGGATTGCTCGGGCAAATTCGCCTCCTGATCTGATCATACAAGTTGGGGATTCCAGCTTTCACTTGCACAAGGTGGAGTAAACTAAATCACTCCTTGAATTCGCCTCTTTAGTTTAGTTCAGATCATCACTAGGTTCAAGCCTTCTCGAACTCCGTTTCCTTCGTCTCCATCTTCGAACCCAGGTCAGCGGCGTTGGCGGCAATTCCAGAGTCCAAATTCCATCTTCGTCTTCTTCGGTTCAGCGGCGGCGACATATCTTCAAACCACGACTTACTTCGACTTCTCGAGATCTGGTTCGAGTTCGAGTTGCATCGCTGCGTTTGCTCAAGATCGCGTCTCCGCCGAGATCGTCGTTCCCCACTGCTGGTTTCCGGCGCCTAAACTCATACCCAATCCCACTCCTAATCCCATTCTCAATTCCATAAAATTCAATGCTTTGCATCAAACGAGGCCTTAGACTGCATCTTTCTTTTAATTTCACTTTGTTCATCAATATCCTTTTTAAATTTGTCTTCAATATATCAGAGAAAGAAGCTTTTCAACCCCTCCCCTTCTAACTGCACATGACTTTTGTGATTTCCAGCTTCCTATGGTGTCAAGAAGTGAATATTTGAATAGGCTCGTCTTTGACAGGAGTAGCAATAGAGAGAGTGCCGATAACATCCTCAAAATTCAAGTAGAAAATCTTCCAGGTGGAGCAAAAACCTTTGAATTGGTGGTGAAGTTCTGTTATGGGTGGAAAATTGAAATAAAAGCAAGCAATGTCGCCTCACTCAATTGTGCTGCACATTTCTTGGAAATGAGTGACGACCTTGAAAAAGGAAATCTGATTTCCAAGTCAGACGCTTTTCTGAGCTTTCTCATGTTATCTTCATGGAAAGACACCTTCCGTATTCTTAAATGCAGCGAACCCATTTCCTCTTGGGCCAAGGAATTAGACATAGTGAAACGCTGCACAGAAGCAATAGCTTGGAAGGCTTGCATTAACCCAAAAGCATTCAGTTTTGATTTTGAACATGCAGAGTTCTTCAATGCTCAAGCAAAAAAATCACAGAAGATGAAAGCAGTGCAGATACTTGGTGGTTTGAAGATGTATCATCCCTTCGAATAGATCACTTCATTGAGGTGATTCAGTCTATTAAAAGACGAGGAATGAAATCAGATCTAGTTGGATCATGCATAGCACAGTGGACCACTAAGTGGCTTTCCCAAGTCACGTTAGGACTAGAGAAGATGACTCCCAAACACATAACCCACCAATTACACAGAGTTACAGTTGAATGCTTGATCAAAATACTTCCCGCTGAAGAAAACTCAGTCCCTTGCAGTTTCTTGCTTCACTTGCTCAAGGCAGGGGTGATGCTGAAAATAAACCCAGAATTGTTGAACATGCTTGAAAAAAGAATAGCTTTCATGTTGGAGCAGTGTCGTGTTGAAGATCTCCTGGTTAAGAATCAAGCAGGGGACAATGATTCTACCTATGATGTGGCTGTTGTTCACAGGGTATTGCAATTTTATGTTTCTTACATGTTTACTGATAGTGCAGCGAAATTTCATGTTGTTGGGAGCTTGGTGGATGGGTATCTAACGCAAATTGCAAGGGACGAGAATGTCACAGTGGAAAGCTTCCAATCAATTGTTGAAGTTCTGCCTCAAAATGCTCGTTACTGTGATGACAGCCTCTACAGAGCCATTGACGTATACCTCAAGGTAAGGATCTAGGTTTAGTTAAGTCTTTAGGTTTTGAGAAAAAACTAATCCGGATAAAACCAATCGATTAACTAAAGTTTGGAACTTGTTCAGTTTTTTTTTTTTTTCAATAATCTGAAAGGTTCAGTTTGATTTAAATTTTTTTTGTGAGACACTTTTTATAATAAATATACGCACGTATTTACCAATAATTTTTAATTTTTAATTACTATTTTACCAAAAAAAATGGATAAATTAGCTTACTGGTTAGAAAAAATTTTATGTCTAGAAAATGTGGATAAAATTTTTTAAAAATTTAAAAGTATGATTGATTCACATTGATATACAAAAAGTTTATTATTGATAAATAAGAGGTTTATTATCAAAAATTTTAAAATTTACAAAGAGTTTATCATTGATGTACAATGATATATCACTGATAAGTATAACAAATTGATTATAATATAAAATATAATAAATATTGAAATGTTTGTTTGGTTTAATATTATAATATGGGTTATATTTGCAAAAATTCCCAAAAAAAGTTGTTGAGAACAAAATAATATACTTTTAACACTTAATTGACACATTTAATTATTAAAAACTAATATATTATCTTTAAAATATTTGATTGTAAATTTTAAAAAAATTATTAAAAATTATTATAGACAATATTTAGTTAATCATAATAGATTTTTTATTCGTGGTTTACAAATAACTAAACTGAGGAAACAGAAAAAAATTATAAAATAAATATAATAAGATTTGGTTCAAATTTTAATAGATAAAAACCTAATCCAAGTTGAATTGAATAATTTTGTCAAAAGAAAAACCAAACCAAACTTTATTTATAATTAATTTTTGAGGGATTCATGTCGATTTGATTTGGTTTGATTTAGTTTAATCAGTTTGGAATTGAATTGTTTTGAATACCCTCACCTTAATGTATAAATAAATGAATGCTCGTTCAATTTCCTTTTTTTTTTTTGGGTTTAAACTGAGGGTTTACCGAAATTTACAGGCACACCCAGATTTGACAGAAGAAGAGAGAACAAGGTTGTGTAAAGTTCTGGAGTATCATAGTTTATCACAAGAAGCACGCCAGCATGTGATGAAGAATGAGAGGTTGCCCTTGAAACTGACAACGAGGTTCGTGCTTCTAGAGCAAGTGAGCATGACGAGATCAATGACGAAGAAGAATTACCGAAGAACAGGCACTCAGACGATCATCAGAGTAAGCAAAGATTTTGAGAACGGATGGTTGAATGCCGCCGGCCAGGAGATACAGACGATGAGGAAAGACATGGAAATGATGAAGTCACAGCTTAAGGATCTGCTTACTTGCAAAATAAAGCTTCAAAAGCAACTCAAGAGATTCGTTGGCTGAAACTACACCTGCTTCTTCTTCTTCTTCATCGCCATCGTTGTCCGTGGTGTTTCTTGAAACGTGTTTTTGATTTGATTAAAACGAGGTCGGACATAATACCTCTAAAACCTGATGTACCGGTGCTTATGTATTTCATGGTGATTGTTAAATCTTTACTTATATCTGATGTATGAGGAGGGGTAAAAAGAGAAGAAAGAAATAAAGAGGGAGAAACAGAAATGATAAGATTCCTATAATTTCAGTTGCCATTGTAATTATTTTGTATTAAAATTTTTAGGGTGAATTACTTTGAAATTGCCCACATCATATTTAAATAGTATAAGATTTATTAAGTAAAGGAAAATGATAATTAAATGTTTGTTATTTTTTTTTGTTAAATTGTCAATGGAGTTATAATATTTAAATGTACTCTTTTGTTTTCAAATAGAAGAGAAAATAACAAATTATATTGTTAAGAGAGTTCGTTAAATACAATAATTATGTTTGAAATTAAAAAAATTTGAATTAAATCATTCTTATAATTAATGAAATTAATTTATCTAATAAAAATAAACCTTGACTTTGTGGGGACAATTTGAAAAAATATGATAAATATTTCTTAAAATTTATAATTTTGTTTTATGAATAAAAATAAAGAACCAGAAGGAGCATTGTGCGGACCTTACCCAGAAGTGGGGTCTCTCCACTTCCCCCATCTCCACCATTTATTAATTTTTTTATTTAAAAAAATTATTTAATAAAAAAATTTGAATGGTGAAGATGGGGGAAGTGGAGGGAAAGGAGGAAAAGAAAGGAAGAGACCCCTGGTCCGATCTTACCCAATGTTTCACCTAAAATTTGTAAGAATGTATTGGATATGAAAATAAAGAGAGGAGGGTCTCTTCACTTTTTTTCTTTCTTTTCCTTTCATTTCTCACTAATCACCATTAATTATATTTTATTAAATAAATTTTATTTTAATAATAAATTTGATGAATAGGAAAAATTGAGAAAGGAAAAAAAAAAGAGGGTGTGCCCCTGAAGATGGCCGTTTAATGGGTGTGCCCCTCAGTTGACAAATGGCTTGTCTACATAGACCTTAAATTTCGTGTAATCAATGCATTAGATTGAGCATGGCCAAAAAGAAAATAATCCTTTTCAAATATAAGAAAAATAAGCAATTTATATAATGGTAGGCAATAATTTAAGAACCTGTTTGGATATACAACTTTTCATTTTTGAAAAGTACTTTTTTATTTTTTAAATGTAAAAAATTATTTGAATATTATATAATTGGATAAAATGAGATGTGCATCCTAAAGCCATTAGAAAGGGAATTTCAAAATGTGAACCGGAGAAAGCTTTTCGAATGTACATCTGGACCCCGATAATGGCATTAAAAATGTAAACGTATATAAAACTTTCATTATTTTTTATTTCTTTCTTACAAGATTATATAAATAATATACTTGTTCTAGAATATATACTTTCCAGTTAAAAACTCAGACTTGTTACCCAAAAAAAAAAAAAACTCATATTTTAAATGATGTGTATATGTGTGATTTTCCCAAGTATTTTTTTTTTTTTTTCACGACAGCCACAAATGGCTGAAAACAGTTCATTTTTTAGATTGAGCAGTTCATAACTTTTGATAAAGAGATGAATAAAATTTGAAATTTAATTAGAGACTTGATTATATATTATATGTCAAACAATTAATCATGTTAGTATGTAATATTTGTTGTAAAATATAGTTAATATAAAGAGTAGAGAAGGACAAGAAAAAACAAGAAATGGAGAGAAAATAATGGAGGAAAATTCTTATTCACTAATATACATATGCTTGGGATATGACTTCTATTTATAAGATTTTAATTATTCAAGTTCTATCTTAATATTACAAAGATATAATGAGACATGTAATAGTGTATTATGTAACCTTTAAAGGTTAGAAGCTATTAAAACTAAGAAACTTCTTCCATGCCATTCATGAGGACATCAAGGATAAAGGAACCCTAAGGACTATGAGTTATGGACATCCATAATATAATATTTATAATACTCTCCCTTGGATGTCCATAACAAACATTGTGCCTCATTTAAACCTTACTAGGAAAAACCCAATGAGATAGAAACCTAGTGAAGGAAAAAGAGTATACAATATTTTAAATACTCACTAATGTTGCCTCATTAAAAACTTTTCTAGGAAAACCCAGTAGGATAAAACTTTAGAAAGGAAAAAAGAGTACAACATAATATTTACTTCCTGTAGTCTCCCCCTGATAATAATATCACTTCATTCCCCCTGATGACATCATCACTTTATGTCTTTGAGTTTGTGCATTCTAATTTCATACACTAACTTCTCTAATGTCAAGGTTGGTAGTGTTTCAGTAAATAAATATATAAGATTATCACATGAGTGAATTTGTTGAACATCTATATCATCGCTCTTCTAGAGGTCATGAATGAAATTTGTTTTTGGAGAAATATGTTTTGTTCTATCTCCTTTGATATATTCTCCTTTCAATTGAGCTACGTATGCTGTGTTATTCTCAAATAATATTGTTGGAATCTTTTTTTTCAACAATAAATCACACATCTTTTAGATATGATGGATCACTGATTTTAGCTAAACACATTCTCTACTTGTTTCGTGAATTGCAATTATTTCTGTATAATTTGATGAGGTAGTAGTTAAAGTTTGTTTTGTTAAATGCCAAGATAGTGTCCCCCACAAGTAAACAAATATTCAGTTTGTGATCTACCTTTATGTAGATATAATCAAAATCCTGCATCTGCATAATCAATAAGTTGTGATCCAAATTCATTAGAATAAAATAATTTCATATCAATTGTCCCTCAGAGATATCGAAATAAGTGTTTAATACAATTTCAATGCCTTTTTGTTAGGAAAGAACTAAATCTTGCTAATAAATTTACAGCAAATGCAATATCAAGTCTTGTTAAATTAGTAAGATATATTAGTGCACCTATAGTACTAAGACATGGTACTTCAGGATCAAAAAGTTCTTCATCTTTCTTTTGAAGGCGAAAAGAATCTTTTTCCTCATCAAAAGATCTTACAACCATCAGAATAGTTAATGGTTGTGCTTTATCCATGTAAAATCGCTTTAATATTTTTTTAATGTAAATTGATTGATGAAGAAAAATTTCATTTTCTAAGTGCTCGATTTGTAAACCGAGGAAAAATTTTGTTCTTCTTAGATTTTTTATTTCAAATTCTTTCTTTAAACAATCAACTGCCTTCTAAAGCTTTACAGGAGTTCTAATTATATTTAAATTATTCACATAGATAGTAATTATAATAAACTTTGACCCATTTCTCTTTATAAAAACACATAGAGAGATTGGATCATTTTTATAACCTTTGTTCAACAAATATTCACTTAGACAATTATACCACATTCTTCTAGATTGTTTTAGTCCATAAAAAGATTTATGCAAATGAATTGCATATTTTCTCAAAAATCTTTACATGCTTCTAGCAATTTGAATCCTTCAAGGATTTTCATATATATATTTTTGTATCTAAAGAGCCATATAGATAGGCTGTAACAATATCCATTAAGTGCATATCAAGTTTTCTGTGTACTTTCAGAATAATTAGATATCTTAAAGTGATTGCATCCACCACAGAAGAATATGTCTTTTTATAATTAATACCAAATTTTTGCAAAAACCCTTGTACTACTAATCATGCTTTATATCTAATGACTTCATTTTTCTCATTTTATTTTCACACAAATACCCATCTATATTCAATTGGCTTTACACCACTAGGTATTCGAACTACAGGTCTAAAAACTTTATGTTTTGAAAGGAAAATTAATTTTACTTGAATTGCATCTTTTCATTTTGGCTAATCATTTTTATGTCTAGATTCTTCAACCGATTTTAGTTCTAGATCCTCATTTTGATTCATTATTTCCACAGCAATATTACATGAAAACATGTCATTGATGACTATATTTTTTTGATTCTATCTTTTTCCTATGGTCATATAATTTATCAAGATCTCTTCATTATCTTCAAGTATCTGGACCTCTTTTGGGGTATTTTGATTAGTTATGTCTCTGTACTCTTCTAGAGTACCAGCCTCCTCTACTATGCCATTTTAATTTTGTGTTCTTTTCTTCTTTCTAAAAATTTTATCTTTGGAACAAATTGGTCTATCATATTTCAGATGTGGCTTAGATTCATTTGCACATTCTAATTGTCCTACTGGGACATATATTCTAATAAAAACATTTTCAGTTAGAATATGAGATTTGGTAATTCTTTTAAGGTCAGTAAATGCATTTGCCAATTGATTTACAATATTTTACAGATGAATAATTTTTTAACTTCAAGTTCATATTGCTTTATATGAAGATCTAGATGAGATAATGATAATTTATTTCATGTAATTTTTTTCTATAGCTGCTTATTTTCTCCCCTTAATGTTGGAAAAATTGTTTCGTTAAAATGGCAATCATCAAAACTTGTTGTGAATAAATCTCCAATTAATGGTTCTAGATACTTGATTATAGAAGGAGATTCAAAACCAACATATATTCCCAACCTTCTTTGAGGTCCTATCTTGATGCATTGTGGTAGAGCAATAGGAACAAACACCCCAGATCTAAAAATTCTAATATGGAAAATATTTGGCTTCTGATCAAAAGCCAATTGTAATGGAAAAAATTTATGATAACTTGTTAGCTTGATGTGCGCAAGTGCTGCTACATGTAAAATCGCATGTCCCCATATGAAAATAGGAAGTTTTATCCTTAAGAGCATTGGTCTAACTATCAATTGGAGGCATTTAATGAATGATTTTGCTAAATCATTTTGAGTGTGGACATGAGCAACAGATTTTTCAACTGTTATTCCAGTTGATATGCAATACTCATAAATAATTTGCGATGAAAATTCACTTGCTTTATCAAGACGAATTGTCTTAATTGCGTAATCTATAAATTGTGCTCTTAATTGAATTATCTAGGCAAGTAATCTAACAAATGCTAGATTACGTGTTGATAACAAATACACATGTGACTATCTTCTATTAAAACCATAAGATATCTGAATAGTCTACATGGTAGATGGATAGGTCCACATATATCCCCTTGGATACGTTCAAGAGAAGTAAGAGATTCAATTCTCACTTTCACAATTGAAGGTCTTTTAATTAATTTTCCTTGAGAACAAGCAGCATATTAAAAATCCTTAAATTAAATAATCTTCTAATTCTTTAATGGATGTCAATGTG